GGAGGGGAGGCGGAGGAGAGGAGGAGGAAGGCGAAGGAGCTCGGAGAGTTAGCAAGGAAGGCAGTGGATAAAGGTGGTTCATCCTATGTTGATTTGAGTAATCTGATTCAGGAGTTGAAGGGAAATATGAAGCATCAAGTGTGAGAGTCTGGGAGAAATACTTTTTAGTTCACTGTGTAGTTAACAATCTCTTGTACATTCAATGAAATAAAGTGACTAATGAATTGTACCTCCAAAATTTAGATGATTTTAGTTTTACCCTTCAAGCAGTGTAGTTTTCTTCAACCGAGCTCCTTTTTGATCGGTGCATATGGGAATCGAACTCGAGCCCTCATAGAGGGCGACATGGCTTTATCATGTGATCTACTTGGCTACCCGGTTCAACTGAGCTCCTTAAATATTTCATATTGTGAAATTAGTCCCTCAAACCATTGAATTTCCAATTAGTTTTTAACCTTCTACCCTCACTTGAAGCTAAAATAATAATTTGAGAACTTTAATATGCTGTTGGGGTTGGATTTATGGTAGGTCTTCAGGGGATTTTATAGCTTGGAAAGAGAAGATTCCTGTCATGAAATTGGCTACGGGGAAGAACTAGCCATTGGGGAGGATGATTATTTAATGAGTATAGTTTAAACATGTTTCTTCAAAGAAAAATTCCCCAAGGACCCAAAATATGGGACCAACAGGGGGGGACATGTGAGGTGTCCCCCTCCTATTGCATAATGAGTTGGTTATCATTAATGATGACCAACTTATTATGCAATAGGAGGGGGATACCTCACATGTCCCCCTGTTGGTCCTATATTTTGGGTCAATGTAGCAAAGCTCTTCTTCAAAACACATTGTTTGAACCTAAATTAAATACACAGTCTCCTTTGATATGCGAGAATAAGCTAGAATGAAATGCATGTTCAAAATTTTGATAATCAACAGACATAAGAGCGAAAAAGGTCTAAAATTATCTTGCGAGCGTCACACGAGAAATTTAAGACAAAATTCTTAATTGTGCATAACATAAAATATTAAAGTGTAATTTCTAGAAACTTATAGATATATAACTGCAGCCAAAACAAGTAAAATATATGAGTGAATATGAAAAACCATAAAATATTTTAAATGCTATTTATGCCAAAACTAGAGGATATATAAGGTATTTATGTCATATGATTTACTGAAACTGTGCATCTTTTTTAAAGAATTTTATCTTTTGGATCAGCGATTGTGCAGTAATCGTAGTCCACTCAGTGTTTCGTTCTTTTCTTTTCAAACTAGTGTGTATCCAGTGCAAAACATGGCTATAAACAGTAAACTCACTTTCTGCCCTCGCAAGGGGAGCCAAGAATTTACTGTTCATGCTACTGTAGTATTTACTATATCTTGAACAGTAAATCTTAGGATCCTCCTTTATGGGTCTGTTTGTTTCGCTAACCACAAAAAAATGAAATTGAAAACATCAAGGAAATAATATTTCCTTGTATTTCTATAGATTTCCTCAAAGTGGTTGCTTTTTGTTTGTTTCACATAGAAAACATGGGTGTATAAATATACCCCCTATATTTTCTCAATTTCCTATAATCGGTTGGAGATTTGCAGTTTGGAAAAAAAAACAACAAAAACTCAAATTCCAACATAACCTTTGTTTGGTTAGAGATGAAACATGATGGAAATGTAAAATGTGCTCACCATGGTAAGTTCACCACCAAAATAAAGACTTCTCCAAAATGAATACCAAAATGTACATCAACTTGAGGCCAAATAAACCCGCATTTCAAGCAACCGATGGCTATAAATTAGCTCAAAAACCCACATTTCAAGCAAGCGATGACTATAAATTAGCTCAAAAACCATCAACAAGCTGAATAACATCAACACGTGGCTAAAAACCAACATGAAAGTGACCGTAGCAGAGGCAAAATAACTATAAATTAGCTCAAAAACCAACAAGATGGTGAATAAAATCAGCTCATGGCTAAAAACTAACATCAAAGTGACCGTAACAGTGTCAAAATAGCTTGAAATTAGAGGCTCTAAGCAAAATCATGAAAATTACTTTCTTAAACTTCTAATTATAACGATATACAGATCGATTAAGCAAGCTGCAAATATCCAAAAGGGAGACAGAAAAAATGAATAAGAACACAAATTCAAGATTAGCCCTAAATTTCAATGCTCATTTAGAATAACAAAATGAACCAGAACATGAATGCATTCATATTAAACACACAATTGGGGATAGTAATAGCACAATAACACAAACATCGACAACCGACAACCATCACAAATAAAATAA